GATGGGACTTCCTCAGACTACATCTAAACTGTAGGCCCTGAGAATGCTTCCCCAGTTCAAGTGTGCACTCCACAGCAGATTGATTAATTTCATAAACCTAAGTATGTGCCTGATAAACCTAAGTATGTAGCACAGTGCCCCATGCACTGTGGCTTTTATAGGAAGAGAATACAGGTACATAGACAAGAACAAAGCTATGATGCACTCTGGCTTGCTTTTGTCTGGACAGTCAAGGGATCATAACTATGAACAGCTCAGTGATTTAGACACAGGTCCAGAGTCAACGTCTTCATGGATCTTGGGAAAACCCAGCTGACAGAAAGTCACTTTAAAAAGATTGGTGGGAAATATATCTGTTCTTTAATTGAAGGTGTGCTATGGCCTTTTGTCCATGAGACTGTAATATAGGTTCACCTGTAGTATAAGGTTGTTTTGTTGTTTGTTTTTTTTTTCCAAAATTCTAGAGCAGTGTAACCCTGTCAATGCATGACTTATCTCTTTTAGAAAGTATGTGAACCATAAATTCAGAAAAACATTATGAAGTTATCATGTTGAAGTAATTTTACCTAAAAATTTAGGTAATTTTATTTTTAATATTTTTGCTGGCTTACCTGGGTAATTATACTTTATAATCCACTAACTTTCTTATCCCTCCCGCCATGCTATTTAAGTAGGTGGAGGGAACAAAATGGGAGAAAAATACCTTTCTTTTAAAAATGTATCTGCAGAAAATGACCACATTGAAACTAATGCCAAATGAACAATGTTGATAAAATTGGTATAAAATACTTTTTTTCCTAATCTTGGATAACTTCTGAAAATAGTGCACAGCATCCAGAAGTGTGTGATTTCTAAACGTGTACCTTAAGAATTCTGATCTGTTTAAAAACTAGAAGCATCTAGACATTTGTGAAAGTGGAATGTATGGAGTGTTTTAGGTCTGTCCCCTCTGCAGTGTTTTCAGAGTAGTAACTTAATTTGATTGCACAGATATTTGTAATGCTATGTTGTGTGTTCTCTGTAGGAAAAAAGCTCAACTAAAGAAGAAAAGAGGTGTCCCAACTATTAATGAGCAGATGTTATTTCATGGCACCAGTAACGAATTTGTTGAAGCAATATGTATTCATAACTTCGACTGGAGAATAAATGGGATGCATGCTGCTGTATATGGAAAAGGTAAGTATTTTTGTCACATACAACAGTTTGGTAATCTTAACAGTCCAACATTGTTAGGTGTTCCCTATAATATGTTCTTTGTGATGTACTCCCTGTGTTTATCAAAAAGCTTTTTAATATAGGTCTGCTTTTAATTACACATCAAGTGTAATTAAGAAAGTTAGGATGCAGCAAGGAATGTAATTGTCACAACTGGCTGGTAGGACCAGGGAGCGTGGGGAAGGGATGCCCAAGAAAGCAGTGTGATCACAAGAAAATCTCCCTACTAAAATGTTCCACTAAAAATATTTGGTCACGTTGCTATAATATAACGATTTAGAAAAAAAAAAAAAAAATTGGATTGCTAATGAACATAAAAGAACAGACATCTTTCATCATCCTGCTACCTATATCCATGCTGTAGTAGTTAAGCTGTCATAGGAATGTAATGAGATTTTTTTTTTTTATTTCAAAGGGACCTATTTCGCAAGAGATGCATCATATTCCAGTCGTTTCTGCAAAGAGGACATGAAGCATGGAGATACTTTCCAAATTCATGGTGTGAATCTGCAGCCTCATCTGCATAGACCAGATAAAGTCATGTTTCTTGCTCGTGTGTTAACTGGTGACTATATCAACGGTGATTCAAAATACATGAGGCCTCCTTCAAAAGACGGAAGTTTTGTGAACTTGTATGACAGCTGTGTGGATAATACCTGGAACCCAAAGATTTTTGTTATCTTTGATGCCAATCAAATCTACCCTGAATACTTAATAGAATTTTGTTAAGTTTGAAAGGAGTTGAACTGAATATTGTTTGTGTCTTTTTGATACTTCTGTTCCTTTTGTAAAGACAATATAAAAACATGAAGCATGAAGGGAGGTGAAAGAGAAGCTAGCATATGTTTATGGAGGAGGGAAGCGGTTAAACATTTAAGAGAGACTGTCAAACTGTTTTTAAAAATCTGTAAACTTTACTAATGCATTTTTCAAATGTAGGGACTATTAAAATTTGAAATTGCTTAGTGAGCCTTAAATACATTGGGCATTGGTAAGTTTTCAAAGGCAAGATTAATGTTCCAATTTTTTTTTAATATATTACAAATATTTATTCATGTGGTAGAAATATGCCTGTAATATAGTATGCATATGATGAAACTAATCTTTTATAAAGATTGTCTTTAGAACATAAAAATAACAACAACATAAAAAAACCCAGGGAACTTGGCTACATATGTGTGTATGTCTGTGTTCTGTAGTGCACGTCGCTTTATGTTTGGAGGCCTCTTAGTTTGGATTCTAAACCTACAAAAAAAATCCATCTGGAGAAAACTGATGAAGGAGCTATGAAGTTCACTGAAGCTGTTACGTTTAACTTTAGGTACATTTTACTGTACACTTCAATTATATACTTGCAAAGCTTTAATCATATACTTGCAAGATTACAAAACCCTTGCAGTAGGATTTGAACTTTGGTTTTGATGGAAATGATGCTCTTGTGGTTGTTAATTGTTTGGTATGTAACTGTTGAGTTCAGTGTTGGGATATCAGCAGTGCCATACACCTTTCTGAGTTCTTACTCTACAGGATTTTTGCCCTCTTGTAGTATGCATGTGCATGCACTTACATTCATGCAGCTGTGCTGCTGTGATTTTTGCCTGGTCAGGGTTTAAGAAGCACTCAGTGCTCGTGTACGTGCTGTTACAGAAGACAACGTTTAGATTAACTTTACTGGAAATAATACAGTTAAACTAACAATGAAAATTTCAAAAAATGCCATCCTTTAATTTTTAAACACTTTAACAGAAAGCTTTCAGTAACACTTGTGTAGATCAGGTTTTCATAAGTGGTATAGTTGTAAAGTTACGGAGTATTTTTCACATGTAGGAAGAGCAAAAAAGACAATATTTGGGTAAAGAACAAACTTGAGTACCAAATACACGAAGAGCCTGAAGAAGGGGCTGTTACAGTGAAATGCACTGAAGCGTTAAACAATTTGCTATGCAATTGTCCCCCTAGTGTTTTTCTTTGTTAAAGGATCTAAAGATCACTAAGGGACAAGGTCTAAGTGGAAGCCTTTCCAGGCTGCTTCTTTGGCTATGAGCAGTAACAAATCCCTATAGAAATAGTATATAACCATGGCAGAGAGAGAGAATGATCTGTATTGGTCTGTCATGGAACTGTTAATGGACTTTTCGGATCAAAGGCTATGTTTAAAATCTATCGTATTTAAAAGGCACTGCAGCTGGCATGACCAAGGCTGCTCAAAACTGTATTAAACCTATGGAACTGGAAGCAGAATATGACTACATAACTGAGGACACAAACATCTCTTCCTTCTCCTTAGTGCTGTTATCTTTGCCTGTCAATGGATCTTGCACAAGTTGGGTGTCTGTATTTATAATTTCATGGTAGCTTTTCCTTTTGCTTCTGTTCCTAAACCATTTAGGGCTGACATGCATTTTCCTTTCTTTTAGCGCAACATGAAGTATGATCTCTGATCCCAGTTGGGAACTCTAGGTTCTACTGTTGTAGGCATGATTTGTGTTTGATTCACTACTATGCTAGCTGTGCAAAAGGCACGTTGTTCCCCACATCGTATAAAATATTTAACAGTGAATCATGCAGGGAATTTGTGTATTACTGACTCCTTTTTATTCTTATACAGTATTCTACAGAGCATAAATTTAATGAAACTAGCAAATATACGTGCTGTTGTTCCTTTGATTTGGTCTTTTATTTCTTCTGAGGTCTGAACTGACCTTTTTAGTTAAGAAAACTGAAGTTTCTTTTTTAGTGTCTCACGGACACAAAATACCATAATCTGTACTGATCTTAGTGACTTTTCCAATTGTTTGTGTTGTGGTGTCTTGTTTACTACTTAACGCACTTCAATTGAATGGCAGAATCTTAATTTACCAAATTGCTGCACAATTGTAGTTTCAGCTCTTTTAATGTACTGTTCTGCTTTCTGCTGTCCATTTGTGCTGATGAACCTTGATACTGAAGGTATCTGTAAAGTAGCCATCTTTTGCTGGCAAGGGGAGAGAGATTATTATTGCAAGCAAAGTCCAGAACTCTACAAGCAGCCAATACAAGAAATAGTTGGACTTAATAATAAGCAACAGTGAAAAAGGAAGGGAGGAAAATAATTTCTTGGACTATGGAGCGTTAAAGAAATTAAAAGGGATTTGGTCTGATTCTGGGGAAGGAAACCTGCTATTTTCTGTTACTATTTCATGTAATGAAACTTCATGCTCCTTTTTACACCTGTGCAAGACAGTATGTCCTCCTATTACATGTCTTGATCTGAGGTAAAGCTTTCTTACTAAATTATTCTTGTGGCAGAATGTTCTCATTCACTTTCATTCATTTATGCTTCAGTATGAGCTGATCTTATTTCTATATCGTGCTGGCCTCCTGCGCCAGCTTTGCTTTTTAGAATGGGTGTGTACTCAATTACTGCTGAACAGATCTCATTTCATCCAAAGCCGTTTGGGAGAGTGTCTGTCTTCATTCCAGTTCATTTACAGGGGCAGTTTGTACAAACTTTTGTTTAAGTTAAAATCTGCAGAAACAAAAGGATACAGCTTTATTTTTTTAATAGATGTCCCAGTACCCTCACATCCAAGCTAGATGTGAGATACATAATGTACCAGCTGGAGTTAGTGACTTAAATTCCAGGAGTACATTGGATGCCAATTCAGCTGGTGGTTTGAGGATAACTGATCCTTTTTAAACCATTATCAGCACACAAGATAATAGCAGGAAGGCTAAAGTCAGTAATACAGTCTACATAGGTGGTGATTACTTTCAGGAAGAAGACTCATCAGTAATTGGCGTGCTTCTCAGGGGCCTATACAAACTGTACATCTGATGAGCACGTGTCAGTCTTAAAATTCCTTTGCCCTATATGTCCATCACTGGTCTGGTGTCTGACCCCAGAAGCTGGCACCAAATTCCCCTCACGCACACACAGGACTCACCAGTAGCTGGCACCGAGTTCTTGCAGCACACGTTCACATGGGACAAGGGGTGAGCATGCACAGAGAGATGCTTAAGAAAAGATTTAATAAGAAGATATAAGAAGCTAGGCTGGACTGCAGTGATGAGGCGCAGGGCTCAGCTAGGCAAACGTACTGACCAACCCCATTTTATGACTGACTGGCCCCACTTAACCCCGTTCTGTCTACCCCCCCTTTGCTTCCCCCTTCCCCTGCGCATCCCCCACCCCAGGGCTCTACAGCTCTGTTGATTCCTGCACCCCTTGCAGTCCGGGGTCCCCTGGTATGCAATATCATCAGTTGCAAAGTCCAGGCTGATCTTCCTGGAAGTGGCACCTGTGGATCCTTGATAGCCCATCAGTTAGCGTGTGTGGTGAGGTTCGTTTCTTGCATTGTCTCCATGTTTGTTTTGTCAGGTCTGTGTCTCCATGTGTTTTGTTTCTGGTTTCCCCCTCTTCCCCTTAGTTTCCCAACTGACAGATCCCCAGTCCGATCACCTCGCTGGAATAAACTTTCTCACACTCTCACGTGCCCTTATGAATTGATGTGACTGACCAAGTTTGGTTCTCATCACTGCCTCCCTTGTCATGTCAGTCAGGTTTGTGTCCCGTTCTTGTTCATGGCTTCCTCCTTTTCTTATTGTCCCTGTTGCATTGGAAAAGGTCCTTGACCAGATACCCTTAAAGGAATGACACTCTCCTTCCACATACCCTTGCAGATAATTGTGCCACATAACATGTCCTGTGGTTCTGGTCCCACATTTGTCCTAACTTGGATTTAGGGGGAGAGGTCACATTTCATTCCTATGGTAATGAATGCACCTAATAGGATTGTTTGCACTGAGTTTTCATCCTGATGCCTGGACAAGAGACAGCCAATGTGAGCACAAAGACTGGAAGCTTGCAAGTTCTTTTGAGTGGATCTTTCAATTGTAAAGGGCCCACTTGAATGTACAGAAGTAGGAGAGTATTTGGTGCATAGTGGAATAAGCAAGAAAAAAAGTGCAGTGTAACGAAGAGAGGGTGTACAGTATGGGAAAAAGATAAACGATATAAACTCTGCCCACTCATACACTAATGAGTTCCATGGAATACCATAAAATGAGTTTATCTTCCTTGTGTGCTTTGAGCTGTTATGAGTTTGATACTGCTATCATGTTAAGGATGGCAAACCAGCTGGTCCTGGCTTTCTGCACACTTATTTGCAGACATTTAAAGATTAATTTACAGCTACTACTTCTAGAGTCTTTTGCAAAAGAGATTGTGACTCCGCTGCTAGAAACAACAGTCTTAAGCTATGCTGTTCTCAGCTACTGACTTTGTTAACTAGAAATGTCATTAATTTCTGTATTTATATTTTGCCTGCCTGTTGCCTTAGAATGTCTTTGAGGATTTTTTATTTCAGTATTTTCCTTTTTAGATAAATGTGTTTTGCAATTAGAGAGGAATGAAAGAAGAAAAAGAAAGGATAAATGTATCAGCATTTGGGGAAGCTGCTCAGTCCATGTGCTAAGAGTGTGCCTGTCAGGAAGGCAGATAGTGGAAATGACATTATGTTTCCTATCTGAAACCAAGAACAGTTGTATCAATTTCCTGTTATAGTCTCCTAGCCAATAAATGCCAAATTTTACTTAACGGGAATGAAATCATATTGACACCAAAAGGAACAACCTTAAATGTTTCTTCTCTTTACTCAGGTTCTCCACTGATATGGTTTTCTTCCCTTTGACTAATAAAGCAATGTAATATGTAAACTAAGAACAGGTGGTGAGTATCTGACTCGTGTCCTGATTTCATGAACAATATAAGGCCGCATAAGACCTTAGCCTGCTCACCTCCCTCTTTCTGTTCCCACGCTCTGCTTGCATTCACGTTGTCATAAAGTGAACCAGACAAA